TTTGCATGAGCATTTGTCCATCATTTCCATCACTTTTGGCCACTGTTTATGGCAAGGCTGAGGTCTGCCCTTTGCGGTTTAAGTCCACATTACATGTTGGTCGCACGTTTGTTTCATATTTGGTTCATTGTGTGTTGGCACATGCTAGTTCCATTGCATATTTTTCCATATTTGCTACATTGCATTTTGCATGCTTGGCATATTGCATATTTGCATGTATAGGTTGCGTTGCATTTGGCATGTTTTGCTAACTTAGCCTCATATTGCATACTTGATGCCGTTTTGGACACTTGAGCCATATTGCATACATACATTGCATTATGTTTGGTTTGGGGTGTTAAACCAAACATGGGGAATGAGGTGTGTTCATACTCACAGTGACGAAACACGTCTCAATCCTCGGTCGCTGACGCCCTTGATCTCAACATGATAGGGCGTGAAGCATTCACTCGTTTGTTGCATTCATTTACATTGATTTGCAAGCTTGGTGCCTTTGGTCATCATGCATCGAAATGCGTGGTTGGCGGCCCGAGGGCCGAGGGCCACACTGCCTTGAGTCTATAGAATGATAGGGAAAGTGGCCATGCACACATTGCTTTGAAATTTCCTTGCCATGCACTGTCTGTCCTCTACTGCTAACAAAACAGGATTCTGCAGGAATATTTGGCCGACCGACAACATACAGTGCCGACCGACCAAAAATATCTGGCCGATGGCTTCACAACTGGTCAATGACAATTTATCAATGGCCGGTGGATCTTTACCTTGGCCGGTGGCATCCCAGAATGATCAGGGAGTGGTTCAGAAGCATCAAGAATATTTTCACAATGCGCAGAGGTTCAAAATAGTGCAAACAGAGGCAACAGTGGCATGGCAACGGGTTTCCGAGTGAGGCGATCGAGCATGCATCATTCAAGCATTCCGAGGCGGGGCTGCGGCCACCTTCTTTTGTAATTAATTTATTAATTGATTAGGGTTTTGTAATATTTAATTAGCTAGGGTAGTTAATTATTTATTTAGTTTGTGTTATTTATTCAGACCATCAGAGGAGGGCAATTTTGTAATAAGTGTGCGTGCGTGTGATGTATGTTTTCCAATCCCACGTCTTTCTCCCTTTTATTTACCAGCTTATGATGGTTAGTTTAGGGCATGTTTCAATTAGCATACTTATGATAGCATGTTTGCATTCATTCATCTGTCTTACATGCACCGGGCTCGGCGCACCATACTAACTACATTGTATTTCAATTCCGAGTTGAATACTTGTTAGTTGTAGCATTTCACATGCCATCTTCAGAATAGCCGAGCCTATTGTAGTTGCATTCCTACATGTGTTGCATTAGGCATTTCAGCATAGTTGGGATCATGCATGGATTTCTAACATAGCTTCTGTTTTGGCTTGGAGTACTCGGTAAGTGTTTATGCTTTAGCACCCTTGCATGTGTGTGAGTGACTGCCACGATAGCATGCTTACCATGAGGCTATGTGCTTATGTGATATAACTGCCTGAATGCCTGTGGGTGAAGGTTGGATTATCTGAATTGGAATAATGCATTGACTGTGAGTTTTAAGCCCACTTGAGAGTGGCAAACCATCACATTTTCTAAACCCACCCGAGGGTGGCAAATCCACGTCTTAGCCTACTTGCGGGTAGCACCATCAAACCATTTTCAAAATAAACAAACATGAGATGTGTTGTTCCAATTCAGGCGATCCAATCTATACTTGTATGCTGTGCGTATCACGTAGTAAATCTAAGCTAATAACCGGAATAAAAACACATATGTTTTCAAAACAAAATATGATGTTTAGTAGTGGCCGAGCTTTGATCGGGCGAGCGAGGGTACTCACAGCTGACCTTTCCCAATCATACCCAAGTTCCCGAGCCAAGGCAACTTTGGTGATGACGGACATATGGTCTTAGGCAACGAGTCAGGGTTTCCTAAATTTCAAAAAAATAAAATATTTAGGTGGCAACTCTGTATCTGGCAAAGCAGTCCATGTTTGGCACTTATTTCTAAAAATATGTTTTTCAAAATGATTTGTCGGACTTGGACTCTTTGATGATTCATCGGTCTTGCATTGCACTCTGCGAGATCAGATTAAGAACCGTGACATTGAGTCCTGAACTGTAGTGAGCCGAAATGAACAGAACAGGGTTTCTCCCCCGGGACGTTCGGGCGCGTCTACAGTTTCTGGCGACTCTGCTGGGGATTTAGAGAACTTGACTCAAACTCATGATATCTTGTTTTGACTACACTTATGTGTTTCTTTGCATTGCATTTGCATTGGTACGCCTAGGACACCGTGTTTGCCATCTGCTATTCCTGAATGGTTTGTCGGAGGCTCGCTTTACTAAGCGTGACATAAGGCTGATCGGTTACGGGCTCTGCCACGATGGGAACACAAACCTTGATTTTTACCGGGGCACCCTTTTTTGACCATTCGACCTAGTGCATATTCGGAATCCATAATGACCATTCCAAGCTAGGACAGGTTGCTTACCCAATTAAAGGTTGTTTGAAACCGCTGCGCGCGTAGTGAAACCTTAGCTCCTGACGACATAGGATAGGGAAACCCTACCCTAGCATAGGGTTGTTTTGGCTCTCACTTGTTTGCTATGTGCTTTTAGAGTGCGTCTCTAGAGGAATGCATGTATTAGTTTGCAAGTCTGGGTATCAGGCCCACGGGCATCAACATCAGTATTTGGGGGATCAGTTTTACCCGAGGGTATCGTATTTGAGGCAGAACGTTGGGGCAGAATTCAGTAAAGAGCCAAATCTGTTTTGATGAAATTAGGCTGAGATGCTATCTGTTTTCTCTTTTGCTAAGTAGTCTTGGAACCATAGCTTCAGAAGGGTCTGATATCCCTCGGGTACTCTGGACCTATGTTGTTATGTGATCAGGGGATGAACCACCTGCAGGCAGCACTCAGTTTACTCCAGATGTGGCGTATGACACACACTGTTTTGAGCATTTGTGAATGCTGGTTTTTGTACTTTCTAACTTGGGTATTGAGTCTGTCTTGTTGTATCGAGTCAAACCTGTTGAGTCTGTCTTGTTGTATCAAGTCAGTCTTGTTGTGTCTGTCTCGTTGTATCGAGTCAATCCTGTTGAGTCAGTCTTGTTGTATTGAGTCAATCCTGTTTTGTTAGAGTCGAGTGATTTCGGGGGTGTTCCCTCGGGCATCACTGTTTTGTTTTGTGTTTGTCTTTTTGCTTTCTCTTGAGTCTGTTTTTGCCTTGGAGCCAGTTACGCCGGAAGTTATGAATGGAACAGCAGTGAATTTTCACACTCTTGTGTTTGCTTTTGCCTTGCGTCTGTTGTGCCAGCAAATTTGAGTGAAACGGCAGTCCATTTCACCTACTCCTCTGTGCCTTCAAATCATGGTATTGACCTAAGTTTTTCAAAACTTTTTGAACATTGTGGTGAAAACGAAGAGGAAGGAATTCCTCAGGTTTTGTAAAATTTGATCATATGAGAGAAAGAGAGGCATGCTAAACCCTTAATGATTGAAATCATGCTTGTTAGTGTGAGTACTGAGAAGGACCCTGGCTTGATCCAGACTGGTTCTACACTGTCTTCAGCACGAGCGATTCGTAGCTTTCTTAAAAGTTTTGAAAAAATGTTTTGCGCGGTCCTGCGGAGACCTGTGTGGAATCGCTCTTGAGATTGTGCAGCCTAGGATCGCTCTCTGCCTCGAAACTTGATCCCTTGCTTTCAAACCTTGAACTCGGACTCAGAATGTACAACGGTCAACCACAATGTGAAGCCTGTGTGGCCAGATTCGAAGCAGCCCTCGAACTACAGGCGGGGAAGTCAGATCAAGAAGATCAAATGTCATCAACAGAAGCTTGTGAAGCTAGATCAGAAGCAACCCTCGAACTAGGGGCAAAAATGTCAAAGGTGCTCGAAGAGTCAAAGACGAAGATTGGCAAGAATGCCAAATCCCAGAAGGGAGGAAAGAAGAAAACATTGCGGAAGGACAATTGAGCTCCTGTCCACAACACTAGGGGCAAATTCAGCCCCCCATTGGATGGACTCCTGCATCGTCAACAAACAACATGCATTCTCCTGGATTCAGATGACTTCAGGATCTGAAAACTATTTGACATGGACAAAGCTACACTTTTACCCATGAGAGGCTCGCTAGACTGAAAACCCGGAAGGGCGACCCAGGCAAAAGTTAGAGCAAAAAAAAGAAGAAAAAGAACAAAAAAAAAAAAAAGAGAAAAATGCAAAAAAAAAAAAAGAAAAGAAAAAAGATGAAAAAGAAAAAAGAAGAAATGAAAAGAAAAGTGTGGGAGCCGAATAAGTAGAAGAGTTGGAAGATGCGTACTCCAGAAATTAGATACTATCTGGCTTCATATTGTGTGACTAGGACGCCGAATACGTTAGGAAAGCCGAATAGACGGAGGTCAGTGGCTCTGAATGAATAATAGGGGAATGAGATAAAAGTAGGCTCAGGCCCCGAGGCCCAAAAAACAAGTATAAATACAAGATCCATAGATTTAGAAAGGTATGTAAGAATCATTTCACTAAATTTGGTAAACAAGCTGTTCTGAGTGTCTGAAGTAACTTGTCCGTCAGAGTGCTAATTCCGACACCCCCGACTGGAGTGTTTATGTCTTTTCAGGTGACTAGCTGAGGTTCACTAGCGTCTCCCAGGATCTGAAGAGTATTTCCAAAACCATTTCTCCACAACTGGCACTGTCTGTGGGAATACTCAAATACATCCATGGCAGGCGTGACTGAAGATCCTCCGATAGCTACTAACGAGACCGCACAGAGAGGTGACCTCATTCCAGCGAACTCGCTTGGACCAAAAACCATCGCAGCAAGACTTGCCTCGGACCTCTGCTCATCTCCAAACCCAACGCAAAAGGCAATACAAGCGACCATGGCACAAGCTAGGCAAACCAAACAGAGGTTGGACAACATCATCGCTGAGAACGAACGCCTTCGTCGTGATCTAGCCTCGGAAATAGCAAAATCCAAACAAACGGTGCGCCAGGCTTCTGAGCGACCCCCGAGGGCAGATGATCGACGATCTCAGACCCAACAGCAAGAAACTGACGGCCGCTATGCTTCAACAGATCATCTTGAGGAGTTGGTAAAGGATGAACGTCTCCACCAATGCGTCCGGAGGAGTGTGGTCGACACACCTGCCTGTCTGAAGGATGCATTTCTGCTTGACAACGTCCACATGATATACAGCCTGTCAGCAGCCCCGGCCGTGCATGCGATCCAATCACATCCAGGCCCCCAACAGCAACTCACGTCAGTAAAGCGGCCCCGAGAAACGCCAAGTATCACCTTTGACGATTCTGATTTGATCGGTGTAACACTCCCTTACATCAATCCCTTGGTTGTTGAGTTGTGCGTAAATCGGTTCACTGTCGAACGCGTTCTTATCGACCGAGGCAGTACCTCGGAGGTTATGTATTATAAAACCTTCACCAAACTCGGATTCAGCGAGTCAGACCTGACTCCGTCTCCTTATTCACTATTCGGCTTTAATGCCACTCCAGAGTACCCTTTGGGAAAGATCAACTTACCCGTTCGAGCAGGCTCCAGAACGGTGGACGTGGAATTCTTGGTCGTCAGGCTGCCATCGCCGTACAATCCCATCATGGGGCGATCGTGGTTGCATACCTTGTAGGCCGTCCCCAACACCTATCATCAACTGCTATGTTTCCCAATAGAACACGGCATTGAGCAAATTCATGGATCCCAAAAATCGGCACAAGCATGTTATCTCCTTGCCGCCAGAATGCCAAAGGAACTGCAAGTAAACTCCATTGAGGTGCGCAATCGGGAGATCCTGGACGATGTTGGGAGGTATCCAAATGAGAAGGCCACGAAAGATTTAGACCGAGTTGACATTGATGGCAGCCCAGAAAAGTTCTTCATGATCGGCGCCTCTCTGAATCAGGTCGACAGGTAGCAGTTGATCTCTTTCTTGCTCAACAACCTTGACATCTTTGCGTGGACTCCGTACGAAATGTCGAGAATAGACCCGTCAGTTTCACAGCACCATTTGAATGTCGATCCAAAATGTAGGCCGATCATTCAAAAAGGCCGACGGTCAGCCGCAAATCCGAAATGTAAGCCGATCATTCAGAAAGGCCGACGGTCAGCCGCGGAGCACACTACCGCCGTTGTTGAGGAGGTAAACAGTCTGCTTGATGCCAGGGCAATTAGAGAAGTCACTTACCCTACGTGGCTCTCCAATACAGTGGTGGTGAAGAAGAAAAATGGGACTTGGCGAGTGTGCGTCGACTTCACGGATCTGAACAAAGCTTGTCCCAAAGACTGTTTTCCTTTACCTAGAATTGACCAGCTCGTCGATGCGACGGCACGTCATCAATGCATGAGCTTCCTCGATGCTTACAGAGGCTACTATCAAATCGCCATGCATCTAGATGACTTGGACAAAATTGCCTTCCTCACCCCAAGAGGAACCTATTGCTACAAAGTTATGCCCTTTGGGCTGAAGAATGCAGGGGCAACCTACCAAAGATTGGTCACCGCCATGTTCAAAGAGAAACTCAGCCACACAATGGAAGTATACATCGACGATATGGTGGTCAAGTCCAAAGAAGAACAGAGTCATATAGCCGATCTAGAAAAGACATTCAGCATCTTACGCAAATACAGAATGAAACTGAACACTTCCAAATGTGCGTTCGGAATCGGCTCTGGCAAATTCTTGGGTTACATTGTCAATCACCGAGGAATCGAAGCCAACCTGAGGCAAGTCACAGCAATCTTGGAACTCGGCTCCCCCCGTTCAGTAAAGGAAGTCCAAAAGTTGATAAGGATGGCCGCTGCACTCAACAGGTTCATCAGCCGGTCTACAGATCGCTGCCGACAATTCTTTCAGACACTACGGCAGGGTAAGGCTTTTGAATGGTCCGCCGAATGCGAATCAGCCTTCAACGGACTCAAGACCTACCTTCGGTCAGTACCTCTCTTGACAACACCCGCCGTTGGTGACCCGCTCATCCTATATCTGGCAATTTCTGATAGGGCCGTCAGCGCCGTACTATTAAAAGATGAGGAGGGAGAGCAACGGCCAGGGTATTATGTGAGCAAGGCAATGGTTGACGCCGAAACACGCTATCTTCCGCTGGAAAAACTCATCTTAGCCCTAGTCATGGCGGCAAGAAAACTGATGCATTCCTTCCAGGGACATAGCATTGGGGTGCTAACAGATTATCCCCTCCAATCAGTTCTACGGAGTGCAGAAGCATTGGGACGTGTTTCAAAATGGGCTCTTGAACTCGGCCAATACGATATTCAATTTTTACCTAAAACTACAATCAAGGGGCAGGTGTTGGCCGACTTTGTTGCCGAATTCACAGGCGAGCTTGCCAGCCTCAAACCTGATGAAGTTCGACCAAAGGCTGAAGTTCTACCAAAGTCGAACTGGAGAATTTATGCCGGGGATATTTGCCAATTATACTGTGATGGATCATCTAACCAAAGGGGCAGTGGCACCGGAGTTGTAATCATGTCTCCAGATGGCGCAGTAATTGAGCAGGCCGTCAAGCTTGGCTTCGAAGCATCAAATAACGAAGCCGAATACGAAGCCCTTCTAGCCAGTTTGCGGAATGCGCACCTTCTCAGCGGTCGGCGTCTGCTTGTGTTTTGTGATTCAAAATTGGTAATCAATCAGCTAAAGGGGGAGTACGCGGCAAGAAACGACCGTATGGCGGCCTACATGAAAACGACCAATTCCTTGCTGGAAAAATTTGACCATCACGAACTGAACCAAATAACACGCGACTAGAACACACACGCGGATGCCTTAGCGTGCCTAGCCTACGGTATTAATTCTGAGATCAAACAAACCGTCGAAGTAGGTTTCATCCCGGAGCCGAGTATTAGCCCTTCAGAGGAAATCCACGTCAACGTTATAGAATCCGCACCAAGCTGGATGGACCCCATTGCTGCATTCCTCTCTTCTGAACAACTTCCAGAGGACAAAAAAGAAGCACACAAGCTGCGAAATAAAGCCCTGTGATACTATCTGGATCTGCAAGGAGGTGTAGAAGTGCCCGCGTGAGGCCTTCGTGCTACAGTTCGGACTCAATTTGTGTCACGGTTCTTAATCTGAACCAAAGAGTCCAAATCTGGCAAATCGTTTTGAGAAAATAGATTTTTGAAAGAAGTGCCAAACATAGACTGTTTTGCCAGATACAGAGTCGCCACCTAAATATTTTATTTTGGGGGAATTTAGGAAACCCTGACTCGGTGCCAAAGGCCATGTGTCCGTCATCACCAAAGTTGCCACGGCTCGGGAACTTCGGTACAATTGGGGAAGGTCAGCTATGAGCACCCCCTCTAGCCCGATCCGAAGATCGGTCTCTACTAACCATGATATCCGTTTTTGAAAACGTTATGTGTTCTTATTCCAGTTATTTAGCCTAAAATTACTATGTTATGCGCACAGCTAATAAGTATAGACCAAATCGCCTAAATTGGAACAAAACATTGCATGTTTGTTTTGAAAATGGTTTGCTACTCGCAAGTAGGCTAAAATGCAGATTTTGCCACTCTCAAGTGTGCTTTAGAAAAGATGGTTTTGCCACTATCTAGTGGGCTTAAAACTCACAGTTTTAATGCATTATTCCAAGTTAGGTAATTCAACCTCCATCCACAGGCATTCAAGTAGTTACATCACATAAGCAGCTAGCCTCATGGTAATCATGCTGTCATGGCAACACTCACACGCATGCAAGGATGCTAAAGCAAAAGAACTTACAGAGTACTCCAAGCCAAAACAGAAACTAGTTAGTAATCATATGCATGATCCTAGTTCATGTTAAGATGGCTAATGCAGCACATGCAAAATGCAACTATAATAGGCTCGGCTATCCTAAAGAATGGCATGTGAAATGCTGCAACTAACAAGTACTCAACTTGGATTTGAAATACAAGTGCAGTTAGCATGATGTGCCGAGCCCGATGCATGTAAGACAGATGTATGGATGCACACATGCATAGCATAAGGTATGCTAATTTAGATATGCCGTAATACTAACCATTGAAAGCAGGTAAATAAAAGGGAAGAAAGACGTGGGGTTGGAAGACATACACACACGCACCCACACTTATTACAAATTCGCCCTCGCCCGGAGGGACCAAAAGAATATACAATTTAATTAACCTACAAGCTAATTAAATATTACAAGCCCTTAATTAATTAATAAATTAACTAAGCTATGGAAAGCAGTAAAAGGCCTCGGGAAGAGGAATGAATGCATGCATGCTCGGCTTTGCTCGGAAATCCAACACCACGCACAAGTTTGCCTCTGTTTTCCCTGCTCTGCTCCTCTGAAAATTGCACAACTCCCAAGGTATGCTTCATGGACACTGTGGAGCACCACCGGCCAGAAGGAATGACCACCGGCCATGGGGAATGATCATCGGCTACTGGTTAAGCCATCGGCCACTGATGGATGGCCGGTCGGCACTGGAGATGGCCGGCCGGCCAAATCTTCCTGCAGAAACCTGTTTTGGCAGCAGCAGAGGGCAAAACATGGCATGGCAATGCATTTCAAGCAAATGTGTGCACCAACGCATCCCTTATCATGTTGGTGACTCAAAGGGACATGGTTCTCGATTCTCGGACCACCAATCGCGCATTTCAATGCGTGATGGCCCAAGAAACCAAGTATGCACTTTGATTTCAAATGAGATGCACATCAAACAAACAAGTGAAACCCAACCTCTATCATACTCAATTCAAGAGGCAAGGCATGTATGCTCATGCAATGCGACCTAGGCATGTTAACTAAGTATGCAACATGGGCATGCAAGCAAGTAATGCACAATGCATGTTAGGCGCACAACCTAAATGAGCAAGCATGCAAGATATGGAATAATAATGGGAGTGACAAGCATACAAGATGTGATCTACCGAGATTACCCAAGGCCTGCAGAACAGTAGTACAGTAAAACAGAGTACAGGGCCTGACGGAAGCCAATACAGTAAATGAATAATGTCCATTGAGCTGTGTCAGTCTGTATGCCAAAAAGATTTTTCATGCATTCACATATACAAACAGTACAGTCTATACAAAATTTACAGTCACACAGTACAGGGACCTAATCCCTTGATAACAGTAAGGTTAGCAGTTAACAGTCTATACAGTAATCCAAACAGTATGGAGACAGA